TTTTGTAGAGATGGAGTCTATTAGGCTAATCTCAAACTCCTGAGCTCAAGTGATCCTCCCGCCTAGGTCTCTGAGCTTGTTACTCTATTCATTATAGTTTCAGGTTTTGTATTCCAACTAAGTGTGAAGAAACTACATTTGTTTAATCACAGTAGCAGAGAATAACCCCAATTACTTAAAAAGAATACTAAGATACTCCCACATTTTCCAACTGCGTATTTGTGTGAGGCTGGGGTTTATCCATACGCTTCAACCAAAACTACATATGTTACCAAACACAGACTGCAGAAGCAGGTATGAGAATCAAGTTATCTTCTATTAAGCCAGATACTGTAGATATTAGTAAAAACAGAAACAGTGCCACTTCTCTCACTAATTTTTAGAAAATACAGTTTTTTAATTCAGAAACATTATAACACAATAGGTTTATTGTTAAATTTAATAAATTTATTTTTTCAATTTCTCATTTTTCATTTCTAATATGGTAAATATTGACAGATATAACCCACATAAGCAAAACTCTTTAGGGTTTTGCTAAGTAACCCACATAAGCAAAACTCTTTAGGGTTTTGCTAAGTCAAGAGGTCCTGAGGCTGAAGAGCTTGAATCCACTGGCCTAAGTGGGCCCTTAATTAAGCCTGTTGCCCAGGCTGGTTTAAGTGAGTGGGAGACAGACACAGGGCTGGTCACTGCAGTTTGATTTGTAATAAGGGGAAAACTTAATGCCCTTCAATAAGAAAAAGAATAAATAGTAGCACTTTCACACAGCTATTATAATCTATCTATATCTACATATGTTTACGTAGACATCTATAGACATCTCATATAGTGGATTTTAGAAAAACAATAGGGCCAGGCACAGCGGCTCATGCCTGTAACCCCAGCACTTTGGGAGGCTGAGGTGGGTAGACCACTTGAGGTCAGGAGTTTGAGACCAGCCTGGCCAACATGGCGAAACCCTGTTTCTACTAAAAATAGAAAAATTAGCTGGCAGGCATGGTAGCAGGTGCCTATAATCCCAGCTACTCAGGAGGCTGAGACAGGAGAACTGCTTGAACCTGGGAGGCAGAGGTTGCAGTGAACTGAGATCCTGCCATTATACTCCACTCTGGGTGACAGAGTGAGACTCCGTCTCACACAAAAAAAGAAAAGAAAACAATATGACCTATGTAATGGACACATGCATATACACAGAAGCAGTCAAGTGGACCCGTGGAACACAGACCCCCTGAGAAGAATGCCCACCAAACTCATCCTCATGGCTGCCTGCAGGGAGGGAGGCACAGTGGAACAGCAGCAGGGAGGGAAGAGTGGGCTTTAACTCATCTGTAATGTTCAATTTCTCTTCCCTGCTCCTGGCTAGAAGGCAAACTTGCTTTAGGCATGACTCCCTGTACCCCAAAGCCGTTCCTGCTGAGACGGGTGTTGCCAGACATTCCCAGCAGCTGTCAGAATCAAAGGTGTGTGCAGCTTTGAATTCTGCTGGAAATCTACTTGTGATGGGTCTGTTATTGAAGATTTTGTCATAGGTCTGTCTGAAACCTCATTCCAGGCTGGAAGACATTTTAAACCCTGTTCACTTTTAAATGTGCCTTTCTATATTTTGGTCCTATATTTTAAATTATATTTAAACTACTTTCACCTTTATCTAGGTAACACACACATTAATTTGCCTGGGTTTCCCTAGGGCTCTCTGTTTTTGTCCGAGTGTTTACACTGCTGTCTGCTGGGTGATCTCAGGACCTGTGGAGTTTCTTCTCGATGTGGACACAGGAAGAAAACTTGATAAGATCAAAAATGTTTGTATCTAATTATTTCTTCATTTCAAAAGTACTGTAATCCCAGCACTTTGGGAGGCTGAGGCGGGCAGATCACCTGAGGTCAGGAATTCGAGACCAGCCTGGCCAACATAAGTGAAACTGTCTCTACTAAAAATACAAGAAATTTGCAGGGCATGGTGGCACACACCTGTGGTCCCAGCTACTCAGGAGGCTAAAGCACAAGAAATGCTTGAACCCCAGGAGGCAGAGGTTGTGGTGAGCCAAATCTGTACCACTGCACTCCAGCCTGGGCAACACAGACTCTGCCTCAAAAAAAAAAAAAAAAAAAAAAAGTACAGTAAATTTATTAATTTCCAATCAAATGTTCACCTAACAGCACAACAAACATTTTTTTTAAAGCATAGAAAGAAAAATAAATAATCCTCAAAGGAAAACCACCAGAGATTTCAATAGATGAAACAAGGGAAAACACTGCACAGTAAGTCCAGCCAGGAAGCCAGGTTTCCAATTCGTACTGTCATTTGGATGCTATGCCAGTTCACAGTGCCACATCATTTATGACCTGTCCAGCCGCAGGCCAATGACAGCATCCTCAGCCAGCCACATTCCACATTTGTCAGGCTCCATTACAGCCCTTTGCTTTTAGGTTCAAAAGTCTACCAGCAGAGAATCAGCACCTAGTCCGCAGCAGCTCCAGGCATGACCATGATTCCTTTGGTGGATAGCTGCCCTCGTCCTGAAAGTGCCTCTGGTCTCCATGAGATTCCTCACCCCTTCTGAGCACCTGCTAGGGGCCAGGTCCTTGGCGGGGTGCCAGGAGTACAAAACGAATGACATGACGGGAGGAATGAAGTACTGACCCTCTACCACATGGTGAGCCTCAAAAAGCACTCAGACACAAAACGCCCCATATTGTAGGATGACATTTGTCCCGACAAGAAAAATTCATAGAAACAGAAAGCAGATTCTGATTGCCTGGGGTGGGGGTGAAAATGGGGTAAATGGGAAGTAATGTGCCTGGGGCACCACTGCAGAGCGATGGAAGTGTTCTAAGACTGTGTGTGTGATGGTCGTACTTAGTAAAAATTATTGAATTATACATTAAATTATACATTAAAATGTGCATAATTTTATGGCATGTAAAGTATACTTCAGTAAAGCTTAAAAAAATAAATGGGAGCCGGGCGCGGTGGCTCACACCTATAATCCTAGCACTTTGGGAGGTTGAGGCGGGTGGATCACAAGGTCAAGAGTTTGAGACCAGCCTGGCCAATATAGTGAAATCCCATCTCTACTAAAAATACAAGAATCAGCTAGGCATAGTGCTGGATGCCTGTAATACCAGCTACTCGGGAGGCTGAGGCAGAAGGATCGCTTGAGCCCGGGAGCCGGAGGTTGCAGTGAACTGAGATGGAACCACTGCACTCCAGCCTGGGCGAAAGAGCAAGACTCTATCTCAAAAATAAAATAAAATAAAAATAAATGGGAGTTAGCAGCTGCAACAATTTTCAAAAGCATCAACTGTGATTTTTCAAAGCTGGTTATTCATTTGTGCTTGTCCATGGACATTTCATGAACCTCTAGGGCAGACCTTGGCCATTCCATGAGAAAACTGAGCCCCAACTGACTGGGCACCCCTGGTATACAGTGACTCAACTATCTAAGGCATCCAGATGGCTCAGCGATGAAGGAACTGAGAGGGTTGCTGAAGGAACCCCACTTGGGAAACACTGCAGGCCATACAAAAAATTAGATCCCATCAAGTCTAAAGATTCCATGAAAAATAATTTCACAGGTTTTGAAACCACTTGGTATATTTTTATTATAATTTTACATTTTAAAAGTCAGGCCAGGTACAGTGGCTCACGCCTGTAATATCAGAACTTTGGGAGACCAAGACAGGGTGGATCACATGAGGTCAGGAGTTCGAGACCAGACTGGCCAACATGGCAAAACCTCGTCTCTACTAAAAATACAAAAATTAGCCGGGTGTGATGACCCACACCTGTGGTTCCAGCTACTCAGGAGGCTGAAGCACGAGAATCGCTTGAACTCGGGAGGAGGAGGTTACAGTGAGCTGAAACCCCACTACTGTACCCCATCCTGGGTGACAGAGCTAGACTCTGTCTCAAAAAAAAAAAAAGTCAAAGGATGACAATTTCCTTCCACACAGTACTTTTTCCCCCCAGAATAAAATGCTTAAGTGGGGTGAGATAATTTACAAATCTTTGTTCCTGTAAATAAATATTAAAGAATAATTTCAGTGTGTCATAGATCAGTGACTTAAGGAGAAGATACCACTTAGGTCAGGAAGACATCTTTTTTTTTCTTTTTATTTGTACAAATTTATGGAATACATGTGCAGTGTTGTTACATGCATAGATGCGTAGTGATCAAATCAGAGCTTCTAGGGTATGCACTACCCGGGAAGGTGCCTTGCACCCATTAACCAATTTCTCATCATCCTCCCTGCTCCCACCCGCTCACCCTTCAGAGTCTCCCTCATCTGACGTTCCACTCTCTCCATCCATGCGAACACACTTTTTGGCACCCACTTAGGAGTCAGAACATGCGATACTTGTCTTTCTGGGCCTGGCTTCACTTAGGATAATGACCTCTACTTCCATCCGTGTACCTGGGGGACATTTTTAAACAGTTCCGCGGTTTCCCACACTGGCTTGGAGGCCTTCCGTGCCTGTGAGTGAGTTCAGGACCAGGGCCCCCCAAATGCCTTCTTCCCCTTAGCTTTCTCAGAAGCTCACAGCCCGCCCTGGTCCCTCCGTGAAACGCGCGGAACGTTGATGACAACCTCAGCAAAGGCGCTAGCTTGCAGGCCTCTCTCCTGCCCGGCCCCCAAGAGAGCATCTAGCGACAGGCCCCCCCGCTCCTCCAGCCATCCCCGTTCCCCGCTCCGGCCGCCCCCAACCCCGCCGCCGACCACCAGCAGGGCCTCAGTGCCGGCTGCCAGATCCCTGCGCCCACCAGCGGAGAAGCTGGACCGGGCGCAGCGCCTCGCCCCGACCATGGTGGTGGTGGGGGGTGGGGTTGGGGTTGGGGTCGCGCGAGCCTCCCTCCGGGCTGCGGAGACCGCGGTGTGGGAACTGCTGGTGGGGGCTGGAGGCTCCGCGAGGCCTGCTCGGAGGTCCGGCGTTTCCCTGGCCGCCCCAGCCGGGCTCCGGAGAAGGAGCCCGCCTCCACACGCCCGCAGCCCGGCCTCACCCGAACACGTGCTCCGAGCTCCAGATCTTCATTGTCACCGGCGCGGGGCGCGGACTCTGGGATCAGTGGCGGGTGCTCCAGGGCTGGCGGCTCCCGGCGCGGCGTGGGTGGGGCCTCGGTGGGCGGGGCGCTCTTGGGTGCCGCCCACCCCGTCACGTGACCGGGCTGGCTGCCGCAGCTAAAAATAGCGCTGCGGGCCGGCTGTGGCGCAGCCGTAGACCTGCGCTGCTACCCTGGGGTGCGCGGTGCGCGCTCGCAGCAGATGCCGCAGGCGTTGGGGGTTGGCCTCGTCCTTACTCCCGCCGTCCCAATTCTCCCAAGGCCCTGTCCAGCCACTCCGGTTTCTACCGTCAGGGACCTGTGATGAAAAACAAACCTGCCAACCCTCAAAACCCCACCGCAGTTCGCAGTTCGGGTCTTGAACAAGCATTAAACCAGCATGTGATGCGCATCGCCACCAAATAGGCTGCAAAGACAGAAATCTCAGCCTGTATCTAACAGCCAGGAGGATGCAACCTGCCCCACGCATGCTCCAGAGGTAAACAAGACAGCCCTCCTGGGAGGGGACTGCTGTAGGGCTAAGGGCCCCACAGGGTCCTGGGGTGAGCCTTATGCTGTGCTGAGGCGCAGGATCTGAGAAATAAAGAGACAGGACACAGAAGTACAAATAAAATGCAGCTGGGCTCTGGGGGCCACGCCACCTATGAGTGGAGTCCAGTCAGGCCAGGCCCCGAATGTCCAGAAGCATGAGTATTTATTCTGTATAGGTTAGGGGGCAGGGCAGTGAGTGAAATCATCTTTAAGGATAGTGATAGGGTCGTGAGTGATAAAACATGGGGTCCACGCCCATTAGGTCACCTAGGCCAGGAGGTGGACAGTGCACAGCAAGGGACCTGTTCCCATGAAGGCAAGGGCCGTGTGCAGTAAGGGGTCCACCCCCATTAGGTCACCGAGGCTTGAAGGTGGGCCATGTGCAGTGAAGAGGGTGCAGTCTGCAATACTTCTATCTATGGGCAAACTACTTATAAGATTTATAGGAGGATGCTTTAAGTCACATAGCAGTGACAGAGCTGTCAAGGTTACCGCCACCTTCTGGCAGCTTCCAATGGGTTCTATGGGAAGATGCTTTTCAAGCAGCACAGTAGGAAGAGCTGATAAAGTTCACAGTCACCAAGGTGGATTGCCGTTCTGAGGGCAGCCTTCCACAGGAACTGGAGCAAGGTCCTACAGCTCCTTTATCAGGAGGAGTGGCTCTTGCCCCAAGCCTGCCATACAGCGGGTATCTTTACGATACTGAACGCTGCCGCCTGGGCCATGGATTCTTGTCCTGGTATAAATATTTTTCCCTTAAATCATGCTCTGCACTGTGTCTGCTCTAGGCATTCCTCCGATTATATGCTGCTTATTCCTTAATTCATGCTCTGTACTGTGTCCACTCTAGGCATTCCTCTGATTATGAACTAAGATACAATTATAGGTATATATGTAGGGAAACTTTTTTTAGGCACTCATACTATCAACTATTATATGATTATCTATAGAGGATTAGATAAAGGGATTCTTCAAGCCCTAATTCTATAAACTAATATATGATTATAAAAGGAAATCACTGAGTAGTAACACTATAAAGTGAGATATTCCTCAAGCCCTAACTGTGCCAGGGTTCTGCTTAGCTCTCATACCTCGGTGCCTATATGGGGGGGTTACCCACAGACTCCACTGCACCATTTGTTGCAGGGTTCATCCCAATTATCCTGATGATGGACTGGCTGCTGGTAAATGCGGTGGCCATTTGCGTGTGTTAATTGTCTTTATCCAAAGGAAAAATCAATTTTTTTGTATCTTTATGACAGGAAGTAGGTTTACAGTTTGAAGCTAGGTGCTCTCTGGAAGCTGGGCTCCTACCATCCCTCGAAAGTGGGAGACAGGGATACCATTTCAAAGACATGCCTCCCAAGTCCGTGAAAAGATACATTCCTGAGTTGCAAAACTGGAGGGGAAATCTTACTTAGCTTTAAAACACATTTACGTGTATCTCAAAAAGACAGAACAATAATTTGTGATTACGAGTTTTCTAAAGCAAATCCGCTAGGGAAAAAGAGTCTCCCTTTTGCACCAGAATAAACTTTTTTTTTTTTTTTTTTTTTTTTTTTTTGAGGTGGAGCCTTGGTCTGTTGCCCAGGCTGGAGTGCAATGGCGCGATCTCGGCTAACTGCAACCTCCACCTCCTGGGTTCAAGAGATTCCCCTGCCTCAACCTTCCGAAAGCTGGGACTACAGGCACATGCCATCACGCCCAGCTCATTTTTTGTATTTTTAGCAGAGATGGGGTTTCACCATATTAGTCAGGATGGTCTTGATCCTGACATCGTGATTCTCTCACCTTGGCCTCCCAAAGTGCTGGGATTACAGGCAGGAGCCATTGCACCCACCCGCCTGATCAACTACTTTTTAGCTTTGTAAACTACCCTGCACTGCCATAAACAAAGTTCAAGTGCAAAGTAAGATGCTTGTTCTGAGAAGAGGGTGCTCCTCTCCAGGATGAGATGGGGCGAGAGGGCAGGGCCCTTATCTGAGTCCTGGGGGAATGGGGAGCGGATTTGTGCAGTGAGGCAGGGAAGTGGAAGAGCACACAGCATGACCCAAAAGACCTAGGCCCACTCACGTTGACCTCTACCTCCTAAGGCGTTCAACTCAGGATGATCTTCCAAAGTTGGTGCTATTCTCCGTTTTACAAATGGTTAAACTGAAGTTCAAGCAGGTTTCAATTTCTACCCCATGATTGCACGCTGACATGAGAACCCAGGTTACAAGATCCCCCTCCCCACTGGGCTGCAGTGAGTCAAGATGATCACTGGGCCAGCGGTTGAACACTTCTTGTATGCCAAGCAGTGGGCTAGGGACCCTATTTATTGAAAAGACATGAGCCAACGTGCTTGTTCCAGGCCACACATCTAGGAGTTAGCCCACCCGAATTCAAAGCCACATCTGTCTGATTCCAAAGCTCAGTCTTGCCATTTATTATCCCCGAGGAGCAGGAACAGATCTAGCTGTGGAACAGTCATTCATCCAATCAGTTTCCTTACTTGTCAAATGAGGATCATACTGCCTACCCCACTGCTGTGTGGTGAGAATTAGATGCATCCACGTGTGGACATCACGGTTTACTCGTATTCCTCCTATCAGTAGCTAAGACTAGCCAGAGAACTATCCCTTAGTCTTTTTTTTTTTTTTTTTCATTTCCTTTCTCCCCCTTCTTTCCTTCCTTCCTTTGTTCCTTCCTCTTTTTTCTTCTTTCTTCTCTTTCTTTCCTTTCCTTTCATCTTCTTTCCTTTCTTTTTCTTGGTCTTACTCTGTTGCCCAGGCTGGAGTGCTCGCTACAACCTCTGCCTTCCAAGTTCAAGCAATCTTCCCACATCAGCCTCCCGAGTAGCTGGAACTATAGTCATGCATCACCATCTGGGGCCAATTTTTGTATTTTTAGTAGAGACAGGGTTTCACCATGTTGGCCAGGCTGGTCTCAAACTTCTGGGCTAAGTGATCCACATGCCTCAGCCTTGCAAAGCGCTGGGATTGCAGGCATGAGCCATGACATCTGGCCTCTTAGCCTTTTCTTTTCTAAAATATTTGGACATGAGACACTGTAACCACCCTCATCAGTGGATTCCTGGATCTCTGAAAACTTTGTCGGGAATTATCTCCTAGATACATCCTGACCCTAAACCTGGATGCTTAACACCAGCGTGATCATAATTATAATACCGAGTGCTGATGGAGAATTTGCCTTGGGTCAGGCACTGTTCTGCTGTGGAGTGAGTCATTTAGTAGTCATACAGTCCCATGGACAGATACTACTATGATCATCTTCATTTTACTGTCCAGGCGACTGAGACACAAGAAGGTCAAGTAATTGTCCAAGAACACATAGCTGGGAAGTAACAGCTGCAATTAGAAACAAGGCACTCTGACTGGAAGACCAGAGCGCTTACAATATGCCAAATTTTATTCTGGCCACTTGATTGCTTAAATTTGAGGAGCTTTTTAATAGAACGTGATTAATATTCATCACTTTGCCTAAGGCAGAGGCTATCCATTGACTTGCTACAATGTATCACAGAGCCACTGCTTTAGCAGATCCCAAATTTAAGCCAGATCTGATTTCTTTTTACCAGTTCTGTCTTTAACTTTTTTTTTTTTTTTTTAAGACAGAGTCCTGCTCTGTCACCCAGGCTGGAGTGCAGTGGTATGAACCTCCCAGGTTCAAGCAATTCTCATGCCTCAGCCTCCCTTGTAGCTAGGACTATAGGCACCTACCACCGTGCCTGGCTAATTTTTTGTATACTTAGTAGAGTTGAGGTTTCACCAGTGTTGGCTAGGCTGGTCTCAAACTCCTGACCTCAAGTGATCTGCCCACCTCGGCCTCTCAAAGTGCTGGGATTACAGGTGTGAGCCACTGCGCCCAGCCTTTCATTGGTTTTAAATTACATTATTCATACAATTGTATATTGCATCATAGATTTTAAATGCAATGACTAAGTAAATGGAGTACATAAGTGATTCCCATTATTTTACTGTGAATCTTACTACCACCTTTTCTACTTCAACCTGTAACTTTTGTGGGTTTTTGTATTGTTTTGTTGTGTTTTGTTTCAGACAAGATCTTTCTCTGTTGCCCAGACTGGAGTGCAGTGGCATGATCATGGCTCACTGCAGCCTTGACCTCCTCAGCTCAAAAGACCCTCCTGCCCCAATCTCCCAAGTAGCTGGAACCACAGGTACGTGCCACCATTCCAGCTAATTTTTAAACATTGTTTTTAGAGATGGGGTCTTGCTATGTTGTTCAGGCTGGTCTTGAACCGCTGGGCTCAAGCATCCCTCCCACTGAAGCCTTCTGAGTCACTGTGATTACAGGCATGAGCCATCACACCCAGCCAACCCTGGGACACTTAAATTGCATTTTTTTTTCCTAAATAACAAACTCCAAATAAACTGGAGACTTATTTTTTCAACCTATCTTTTCATATCTCTGTAGAAGATCGCCTGAGCTCCCTAACTCTCAATAACAGAACGTACTGCATTTGATACTCTCCAAATCCTCAATATTTCCCAAGCC